TTTTCAGGCGAGAGGCTTGACCCTCCTTGGACTACCTTCCCATGCTTTCCGTCTTGGCTTTTTTATTCATTTTTTATATTTTCAGTCTAAATGTTTGTATTGTTTTTACTCCGATTCATCCTTGGAAACGAGAAACTGCCAGACCGTGAGGGCCGCGTCGCGCTCCTGTGACCCGTCCTGTACCCGAGGCCGGCTGCTCCTGCGTCGGGAACCTCAGTTCTGTCTCTTCTCATCATTCTTCTCCTGGAAAGCTGATCACAAAGCCAGCGACTTGGCTGGACCTGTATCATTTCCCTCATCAGGTCTTCCGTTTCTGCACACATTCAGGCGGGATTTCTCAAGTCATCTTTCCGAACCACTGGCCCAGACGTCAGCAGTTCCCACTCTGCTCTGCACTTGTTACAGTTCTTCTGCTGTGCTCCTGTTACAGCGGGTGTAGATGAGTAACGCCATTTACTGAGCAGGGCTCTTTCATGTTAGCGGTGTCTTGGCCTGGGTTTCTCTGCACGCCTCTCCCTGCACCAGGCCTTCTGGGTCTCAGAGGAGCCGTGATTGGCCAGAAGGCGAGACCATGCCTCAGTGCATGTGCTGAGAGGCCAGGCCAGCAGGCCCACAGGTGGGCTCTCTGGGCAGGTCAGCACCCAGTCAGCCACCAGCCCGCCCTGCTAAGTCTTGCAGGTCATGGTGGCCCTGTCTGCTGGTGGTCCGAGCGTTGATGGAGGGCGTGTGTGGCCCAGACAAGCCCTCAGGGTGGAGGTGGGTGTGGCGCTTCTCCCAGAGGACAGGGCGCCACAGGGCAAGAGGGCTCGGCAGGTGGGGAGTGTGAGGACGGGCAGCTGCCCGAATCCATCAGCTTCCTGCAGGGCCTGCTCTGAGGGCAGGTGTGAGGTTGTTCCCCCCAGGCCTGTACCCCGTCACCCTCCCAGCACAGGACAGTGTCCCGGCTGGGCCAGAGGGGAGCTTCTGGAGCCAGGCCTCCCTGAGGCCTTGGGCACCAAGGGCAGGAGCTGGTTGTCCGCCCTCCATCTCCCTCTTGCAGCATCTTCACTGAGGCCCTGAGGGGCATCCGTGTAGCATTTCTAGTGGAAGGGAAGCCATGCTCTGGGTCTCCTTGGCTTTGGCGGCCATCTCAGCTGTGAACTGAGCAAGGAAGGACCATCGTTGCTTTCTCACCAGTGCCCCCAGACCGTAGCCCCTCAGGGTAGTGGCTGTCCTGTCCTGACTCACTGCACAGTGGGCCTTAGCTACACGGCTGAGCCACAGAGAGGGGACTCCAGATGCAGCAGCCCCGCTGTCCACTGAGCCACACCCGACAGTGTGAGGCATTTACCAGAAGTTGCAGAGCCACTGGGCAGCTAGCACATGAGCAGCCAAGATGCCAGAGAGGGGAGCATCTGTGACATCGTACCCGCAAGTCGCCAGCACAGCTGGGAGAGGTCTGTGGGGATGAAAACTGGAGGTTGGACCCACAGGAGGAGGGCCAGTGAGAGGGATGCTCTCGTCCCATCCTGGGCGAGTTTGGCGCAGACCAACCACAAGGGGAGTGTGAAAGAGGCCGGTGCGGGAGTGGCCCCAGGGCTCCAGGCATCCTGCCACAGCACCCAAAGGGCTCAGTCCCAGCCCCTCACCTTGCCCCATGGTGGAAGATTCCTGCAATAGCCACAGTATCGGCGCCCGATGCCCAAGCTGTCGGGAGCCTGTGGCGCTCCACAGACTTCAGGAAGCAGCTCGCCAGCCCAGAGCAGGTACAGGCTAGGGCTAGGCCATGTTTCTGGCATGGGGTTTATTAATGTAGACAGAGAAGAAGAAGAAATAATTTTTGGGCTCGGAGCCAGGAAAACTAGTTTTCCAGATTAATGCCGGGAGAGCTGTGAATCCAGTCCCTCGTGTCACACATCATAAAACTCCATCGTGACCCATAAAACTGACAAGACCCATCGAAAGCCTGGCTCCTCCGCAGACCCTCATTAGGCCGTCGTCTGTGACCTCGTGTTCCTCCAGGCTGCTGGGATCAGGACCAGCCTTAGTTACCATTCAGAGAGTAAGAGGCGGGGCATCAGCTGCGATTCGCTCAGCCTTGGAGAAGGGCTAAGGCGACTGGGGCTGGGCCACACGGAGATATCAGGTCCCTGCTGCCATCCAAGGAGGAGTGCCCTTGGTGCGGGTGGGCGGCCGTCACCCCCGCGTCGTCATCTCACCTCCTTCTGTGGCTGCTCCCTCTCCGCGTGTTCCTGCAGTGACAGCACCAGACCCGCTGTCTGCGCTCCGGGATTCAGACTCGCCTGTCAAGTCACCGGGTGGGGAGGCGGTGGCTGTCTGTTTAGTGACTGCTGGCTTGTTAGGGTCTTGTTTCTTTCGAAATGGGTTCATTGTGTAGGTGTGCGGATATTTACACGTTGATCTTCATGAAATTCCCTGTTGATTTGTTCTTGTTTCATCTTTTCTCAAAGCCCCTTCAGAAGTGTGTCCATCTGGCCGCTCTCCTCACGTGACCCGTGCCCGTGCTCTCATTCGGTTCCGCTCCTGTCTGTCCCTTGTTTCAGGTGTGGGTTGCTGGCCCACTGCGGCTCCTCCAGCTCCAGGCTCTTATTTCCTCTTTCTGAGGCCAGGCAGCTCATCTCCCTGCAAACACTGTGTGCCCACCGTGGACGGTCCACCCCTCACCTCCAGCACCCGACTCTGCTCCCTCCGTAGCCCGTCATCCTGGACTCCTGACCCGTCCTGGCTGCTCCCACTCCTTGCTACTTCCTGCTCTTCCTCGGACTTGGGACTCGCACTGTAGACCTGTCCGTGTTCGCCCTCACACTTTCTCTCCCCCTGAGCGGTTCCTGGGCCTGAAAGGGAGCTGGCGGGTTGAATCCATACTGAGTCTCCACAGGAGAGAGGAGTTCTGAACTTCACCTCCCACCACGCGTGGAAAACCAACTCAAATGGATCAGAGTTCCAGCCTGGCCGGGTGGCTCCCTTGGTTGGCCCGTTCTCGTACACTGAAAGGTTGTGTGTTCGGTTCCTGGTCGGGGCCTGTGCGAGAGGCATCCAGTTGATGTTTCTCTCTCCCTTCCTCTCTCTCTAAAATCAAACATATCCTCAGGTGAGGATTTTTTGTTAATGGATCAGAGCTCCACCTACAAACCTTTTAGAAGATCTTTGTAACCTTGGGGTAGGCCAACATTTCTTAGGTGGGACACAAAAGCACTGACTGTAAAGTTTTTTAAAAATTGGTAACTTGGACTTCACAAAAAAGTAAAACGTCAACCTCTTCCAAAGATACCATAACAAAAATAAAAGGGCAGCCACACCAGCTGGCAGAGAACAGTCACAATATAGCACATCGGACAGAGGACCCCTACGGCCCAAGGAATCGGCCAGTTGTTTGTTTTTTAAATGGGGAGAAACTTCAACAAGCACTTCACAGAGAACATGTGAAGGCCAGCGAGGACAGGCGGAGACTCTCAAGGTCACTGCCAACAGGAAACAGCAGGTAAGATCAGCCAGCTTCTGTCACAGTCCCAGGCGGAGGGCAGGGCTCAGGCGTCAGACTGCCACATGACCCCAAACTTGCCAACACTTCTGCATAAATATTCATGTAGACTTGACTCACGGCAGTCAAGACAGGAAGACACCCTCATGTGTCCCTCTGAGGGGTGTGGGATGCCCTCAAGTGAAGACCATTCATACTCCCTACTCCCCACCGCCCAGCAACAGGGCATACAAAGGTGCTCTCTTCAAGACAGCTCTTGCAGGAGGAACTTCCGGGAGTTCTGGCTGGGAGGCGCTCCAGTATGCGGCCTTGTGACAGCTGGGCGTGGGAAAACCCCGTGCTGTCAGCACCTCATCCATTCATGACCCTTTAGTTCTTGGGCAGGAGCCTCAGGCTTTTGGGGTGGTTCTGATTGGAAAGCCTCTGGGTCACTGAGTTAGTGCCATGCCAGGGAGATGAACCCGCGGGTCTGGGACACAGAGCAGCCTCACCTCCCTGGTCACCATTTCAGTGGGATTTAGAGGACATGCCAGTTTCTCCCCAAGCATATTTGGGCTTCCTGGACCTTGCGTCATCCAGGTTCACCACGGAGCTGGCATCAAATGCAGCTGGGCAGCACGAGGCCTCTGGGGAGGAGCAGTGACCCCCCCTCTCCGACAGCTGCCCAGCAGACAGCCCAGGCCTGGCCCTTTCCTGTGGCCACTGGGAAAGTACAGGAAGTTGGGCTCCATCTAAGCCATGTCCAAGGGTAGCGCAACTCACAGCCCGCTAGGAGCCTGCCACACCCATCCCAGGGTGCCCAGGCCCTGCACATGGTCACCAGGGTGTGGAGGACAAGGCTGCAGATAGGCGAGTGCACCCCCATTTTCCCCAACCCTGATAGGGAGCACAGCAAACCCCACCCACCTCCCACATGACCCAGGCACAGTCCTGATGTCAGAGCCCCTCCCTGGGGAGGAGCACAGGCTGTAGGGTCCTACCCTGAGCCTGTATTGATTAATAATCACTGTGACAACTGCACCAAACACAAACCACAGCATGAAACAATACAGATGCGTGACTGCGCAGTCCTGGAGGTCAGACATCTGGGCGGCCGTGGCTGTGGCCTCAAGTAGAGTCCCAGAGGCTGGCATGGAGGTGTCAGCAGACTGGGCCCTCGCTGGAGGTGCTGGGAAGGGTCTGCCTTCATGGTCGTTTGGGGCATGGTCATCCTCGGGCCAGAGGGATAGGGAGGCCAGGTGTGCAGCCCGTTGCGGGGGAGCAGGGCCAGGACCATGGCCGCCTGCCACCCTGGTCTCTTGGGAAATAGCATAGGCACCTACGTGTGCTTCCGGGAAGAAACTGGGACCCCTCCGCCCCAGCACCTCTGGGTTGCTGGGACTCTGTGAGTTGCTGGGTCCTGGTGGAGTCGGTGGGGCACAGGCGGCTGGAGGGCACAGCCAGGCTGCCACCAGCACAAGGCAGGGCAGCTGTCCTCGGTCTCGCTCAGCTGGGGCTGAGGCACTGCTCCGTCCCTCAGGTGGTCCTCATCGTCAGTGGGAACCTGAGCTTCCTGAACTGGCTGACCATCGTGCCCAGCATCGCCTGCTTCGATGACGCCACCCTGGGGTTCTTATTTCCCTCCGGGCCTGGCAGCCTCAAGGACCGAGTCCTCAAGATGCAGAAGGAGGAAGCCCGGGAGGCCGGGCCCACGCCGACGTACGGTGGGTGGACACCTGGGGACGTGGACAGAGGCCTTTATTCCCGACCCAGCATAGCCGGTCCCCAGAGGTGCTGGCCCATTCTTACTGAGCGACTCCAGGCCCTCCCCATCAGGGCAGTTGTCATGACTCAGTTTCCATATCAGCCTCAGAAAGTGTCCTTGGCTGGGGGAGATGGGAGCTGTGGGCAGAGGCCCTTCCCAGACTCCCAGGCGGGGGGCCAGCAGCACCACCCTCAGCTTCTGTGAGCCCAGAGGGGCCGGACAGAGGCCAGGGTCTGGAGGGCCCACTGACGGGGCAGGGGACAGCCTCAGCTCCTCCCTGTGGTTGGGGCCCCGGCCCAGGGGGCAGAAGCTTACCCACTGTCCCTCTCTCCCCGAGCCCAGGCTGCATGGTGCGGCAGGCGGCCAACCTGGCACTGGGTGTCCTGGTCGCCTGGCTCAGCATCCCCGTGGTCCTCAACTTGCTGAGCCCCAAGCAGGTCATGAACAGCTCCTTCAACCCCCTCAGGATCGTCAACACATACGGAGCCTTCGGAAGGTACTGTGCATGCCTGGGGGGCCGTCTCGGCCGCCTGTCTGGCCTGGGTGTGGTCTCTCCTCTCCATCCACACGTGGGAGACCCCTGGTCAGGGAGGCCCGGCCCTGACCAGCCAGGTGGGCACTCTTGGCCAGGGTGGGGTTGAGGGGTCTGCTCTCCCTCCCCGAGGCCAGCCCCCACCTGCTCCTGCTCGGTCCACAGCTCCAGCCCCCCCGGTCTGCTCTGGGTGGAGAGGCAGCCACCGCCTGCAATTACACAGAGCCCCGCCCGCCCTGACTTGGTCTCCCCGACAGCATCACCAGGGAGCGAACAGAGGTCATCCTGCAGGGCACGGCCAGCCCCAACGCCAGCGCTCCGGACGCTGTGTGGGAGGACTACGAGTTCAAGTGCAAGCCGGGTGACCTGAGGAGGCGGCCATGCCTCATCTCCCCCTACCACCACCGCCTCGACTGGCTCATGTGGTTCGCAGCCTTCCAGGTAAGGCCCTCTCCTCCCGCTCCACCATCTCCCCCAAGTGCCCATGTCCAGTGCTCATTGTGGACTCAGGCTCCGGTCACTCCAGCGTCCCCAAGGCTATGTGCCCTCCCGTAGAGTCTCAGAGGCTATAATGGAGGTGTCAGCAGGCTGGGCCCTCCATGGGTACACGGGCCCCTACAGGGCAGGTGGGGGGACATCAGACCCCGCTGGAAACAGTGTCATAGACCGACCACTCACACTCAGCCATGGGTGCCCATGCAACCCCGACTCTGACCAGCCTCACACCACCCACCTGGGCCCGTGAGGACACGGGAGGTTGGGCTGGATTCCTGGTGTGGCGTCAACTATGGAGCAGCTTCATCCACTCCCCACCCCAGCCCGAGAGGCAGGGCCCACCTCGCTGTCAGCCCTGAGATCGGGGCCCGGGCCTGAGGCCAGGCAGTAGCACGTACAACACGCTCCCGGCTCCCACCCTCCTGGGGCAGGGTCTTCCCCCTGAGCAGCCCGGACCCGGGCAAGCATCTGTCTGCGCGGGAGTCAGAGGCCAGGCTTCCTTCCGGTCTCTCCCTGAGCTCTGCTGCACACGCAGGCCCTGCCTCTGCACAGCGGTGGTCCCCTAGGCACGGGTCCCCAGGGCCTCTCTCAGATGCCCTCGCACAAGGACCAGGCGCCACAGCCGGCTTCTCAGAGCGCCTTCACCACAAAAGACAAGACAGGCGTTAGCTCAGGCCAGAGAGCCTGGAGGAGCCGCATCTCCTCTGACCCATCTCGCCCAGGTGACAGCCCAGGGCTCCCAGATGGCAAAGCCCAGAGGTGAGCTGGTCTGGCTGGGCCTGTGCCTGCTGCATCCGAGTTACCCAAGCACAGGACGGGGCGGGGGACCCGGCACACGAAGGAACGATTCACACACATCTGGCTGATGGATGAGAACAGAAGCTGGCAGCCCCTCTGGGGGGGAAACCTAACCCAAAGCAATGGGGTGTGGGCCCCAGGGCAGCCACTGACCACACTGCCGTGAGACACACCCAGGGCAACAGCCTGATGGAGTGACCGACCGGCCAGGGCCCTCTGGAGGGTGGGAGGGAGCAGGGAGCATGCCCTCTCCTGAGAGTTCTTGGGTGCCACACGCCCCCAGTTCCTGCCCACAACAGGGCTCAGGCTGGTGGCTGGTCCTGCGGGCGCCCAGTGCCGACCCAGGGGCAGCGGCCCAAGCACCCCTCCTCTTCTTGCCCCCAGACCTACGAGCAGCACGAGTGGGTCATCCACCTGGCGGGCAGGCTCCTGGCCAACGACGCCGAGGTCCTGTCCCTGCTGGCCTTTAACCCCTTTGCGGACAAGGCCCCCCCCAGGTAAGAATCTCTCCCAGACGGGACCCCCACCCACAGTGGCTACTGCCTCTCAGCGCTACTCCCCCAAATGCAGTATGTGCTCTGGGGCCAGGCCCCACCCCTGGAAATGTGCCAGGTGCAGAGACCCGTAGGCCCTCAGGCAACCCCCTTCCCCCAGCACCGCTCACCTGCTGAAAGGACCCCCGCTTCCGGGGGAGGGGGTGGCCTCCTATAGCGAGTCCCAGCCTCCATCCCGGTGGCTCTGGAAGCTGCCGCCCAGCACTCAGCCTTCCTGGAGGCTAAACACGGCCCCCGGTCCAGGGCCTGGTTGTGATGGGGGCTCCTCTGGCTCCCTGAGCAGCCTCTCCCCACCAGGGAGCCCCTGGACAGACACACAGCCCCTCCTGAAGGGCGAACCTGGGCCCCTGAGCCTGGGGCCCCCTGGAGGCTGCTGCGCTGGGCGGAGCTGCAGGCTGACGCTCCCCTCCCCGCAGGTGGGTCAGGGGCGAGCACTACAGGTACAAGTTCAGCCGCCCCGGGGGCCTGCACGCCGCAGATGGCAAGTGGTGGATCCGGAAGAGGATCGGCCCCTACTTCCCTCCACTCAGCCTCCGGAACCTGAAGGGCTACTTTAGGTCACGGGAGTGGCCGTACCCAGCACCGGACTAGAGGGACCCAGGGCCTGTCCACCAAGAAATAAAGTGGGAAGACATTAGCACCCCTGCACCGCCACCTGCACCCAGATGTCCAGGAAAGCAAACCAGGGGGTGGCATTGGGAGAGGTGCTGGGGTTGCGGGTGGCCATCTGTGCTTTCCTCATCCCTCACAGGGGGTTCCCAGGCACCCTGGTCATCTCCCTGGTCACCAGGCCCCCAGACATGGGCGTCCAAGGGAAAGTGGTGGATCCAGGACCACCAGCACCCACTACACGGAGCCTTGGTTCCTCCCATTGGCCATGGCCTGGCCAGGGGGCTTCCTCAGGGTCCTAGGCACCTGGGGTGCCGGTCCACAGGCAGGCCCTTACCCCCAGTGGCCAAGCCCCTGTTGTGTACCTGGTGTGGCTGTGAGGAAGTCCTCACTCCCTGCCTCTCCTCCACCGCCCCCGGGGTGGGCTCCCACCACATCCAGAACAGACTGAGAGGGAGAAGCCAAGACTCCCAATCCCCCCTCATGCCCACCCTCCTCAGAACCCCCCCAGGCTCCACACACACCCCTCAAGGCTGGTCTGGGCCCTGCCTTCCTCTCCAGTGACCAGCGTCCAGAAGCCCTTTGTCCCCCACCCCATCCGGTGAGCGAAGCGCATCCTCATGCTCCCCTGTGACCACGTCCCCAGCCACACACCATGGCGCCTCCTGCTGCTGACCGGCGGGTGGGGGGACAGCAGAGCCGTCAGCCCCAGCCTGGGTGCTGGGTGCTGGGGCGGCAGGGTCCCCACGGTGCAATTCTGAGGCCCAGTTGTCAGAAGTTAGTGGACTGATTATGTTTTGTTTGGCAATCCAGGGCCCTGTGGCAGTGAGAACTGGGTGCAGCCCAGGATCTTTGCTGCCTGTCGTGAGTTGTGAGTGAACAGGGTAGGGTCCTGCCAGACAAATAAGCTGGCACCCAGTGGTGCCGCCCCAGCCCCGCTCAGCCAGGGGACAGAGGCCAGAGGGATGCTGCCAGCCCTCCCTTCTCCCCTTCCTCCCGCTACCCCCACCCATCCAGGGCACTGGCCATACTGTGGGGAGCCCCGGAGAGGTGGTGCCGGCCAAGAGGCTGGAAGAGGTGGGTACAAGTACAGGTCTGTGTGGAGCAGCCTCCCGACCGCCTGGGGGGCCGGCCCAGGTGCCAACAGAGAGGCCGTGTTCCTGCTCACAGGGAAACAGGCGCCCTGTGTCTGTAGCGGACAGACAGGGCCTCAGACAGGGAGCCTGGAGCCAGCAAGTCTGCCTGCGGCAGCCAAGCGCCAGCCACAGCCCGGCAGCCCTTCCTGGGGGGTCGTCCTGGGGGCTCTGCCAATGGGTGGGGGCACCAGGGGGCCTGAGGAGACCCTACACCTTGGCTCCGATGGTTCTCCACACCCCCTGCCCAGACCTCGGGGGGCCTCCCTGCCAGGGGCCATGGTGGTTCCCCACCTCCCCCCAGCCCTTCCCACCCGCTCTGGGCTCGTTGCCACCCAGGGCTGGACAAGGGAGCCCTAGGACCCCGCACTGCTGACTCTAGACCCCCATGCAGCCATGCCCCCCAAGCCTCCAGGACCCCCTAAGACACACACAGGATGTGATGTTTAGGCGGGGGCAGGGCTGGAGCCAGTGACCAAGTGTCAGAGGAGGCCCCTGGGCTCGGGCCCTCAGGAACCAGGCAGCCCTGTCCCCGTCCTGGGACAGAACAAACCACTCACCTGGGCATCACAGGTGACTCCAGGTCCAGGCTGTGGGGGCGCAGTGGCCGGAGCAAGGCTCTGCCTTCTGACCCAGGAGGACCCATCAGACCTGTTTCTCCCACAGCCTCTCCTCCCAGGATCGGTGCCCCACCCCCACCCCCCACCTGTCTGTCCCAGCCTTTGGAGCCTCTCCTAAGGCCACTCCCATCAGAGGGAGTCCGCTAGACCCTTCCTCCACTCAGAGCCCTCCCACTGCCCCACCTCCTGGGCATGAATCGGGTCACTGCCCATTACCCCAGCCACACCTGCCGTGGATAAGGCCTTGGGGGCCCACACCCCTCGGGCCGGCCTTCACTGGACCCCACGCTGCTCCTGGTCATGCTCTAGGCTGGTGGGGATCTAGGCCTGGTGCCCCAGTGCCAAGTGGCACCCAATACAGGTGTGCGGGGTAAACCATCCACCTACTGTCTGAAAAAGGCCCAAACACTTCACTCCTGCTCCACCTGGCACTGCCCTCTCTCCAGCCTCATGAGGATCTGCCGTTTCTTAGCCCAGAAGAAACTTCGGGGGGAGGGGTGCTCAGGGACATGAGGCCGGGGGTGTTAGCGCCCCTTCCCTCCAGCAGCTGAGTCTGAGAGAATGGGGGCATAGCCTTCCCCCCTCGCTCTCCCCTCTGAAAACTCTGCCTGGGTAGAGGGGCCTGTAGGTGAGATCTCTCTGCCCCACCTGACAGTCAGCACAGCACCTGGTGGAGACTGAATGTGCATCAAACTCGGGTGAACACGCCAGAGTAGCCACAGGGGGGACCACCTGTGCCACTGCCTCCTCCGGGGCATGAGACTTGGGACTCTAGACCCCCAGGCATCGCCCATCAGACTGTGCTCCGATGGTCCCCTGGGCGGGCTGTTAGCCCGTCCAGAGCAGCAGGCTTAGCCAGGGGCCGGGTGCAGGGAGGACTCACCCTGCCTCCCCTCTTGCTCTAACAACCAGGCGAGGGGCACAGCTCCCATTGCACGTGAGGCAGGGTGTGTGCGAGCCTTCACCAAGCCAAGGGTTTCTCACTCACTCAGAGGTGATAAAGTGCATGTGGCACCTGCTAAGGCCAAGCATGCGCTCCCCTCAACCTCGCCCAGATGAGACATTCTTCCTCAGGGATTAAGTTCCAGCGCCACTAGGTAAGGCGGAACGCAATATAGCAGCCACCCAGCCTCAAAACTGCTAACGTGCTCAACAAAATCGGCACATCTTTAACTTGATTGATCAAGAGAAGATTCAGATAACATTTTTTAAAGTGAGGGTATTACTACCGACCTTACAGAAATAAAAATAACAGTACTATGAACAAGTATATGCCAACAAGTTAGATAACTCAGATGAGTGGACAAATTCCTAGAGACACACGAACTACGAAAAGTAACTCAGGAAGAAGCAGAAAATGTGAAAGGATCTATAACAAGTAAGGAGCTTGAATCAATAATCCAAAAACCTCCCAACAGAGAAAAATAACCGGGCCAGAAGGCCTCATTCCTGAGTTCTACCAAGAATTTAAAGAATTAACACCAATCCTCAAACTCTTCATAAACTTAGAAGAGGGAACACCGAACTCATCCTATGAGGCCTGTATTACCCTGATAAATACAAAGATACCAATATCCTTTGAGAATATAGATGCAAAAATTCTCAACAAAAGAACTAGCAAAACAAATCTAACAACATATTAAAAAGATCATACACCATGACCAAGTGGGAACTACCCTAGGAATGTCAGAGTGTTCGACATAAAGTCAGTTGACACAATACACCACATTAACAGAATACGGAGTGGAGGAAACCACATGACCATCTCAATTGTTGCAGCAAGCATTTGACAAAATCCAACATGCTTTCATGATAAAAATCACTCATAAAACTAGGAATAGAAGGGAATTACTCAACATTAAAGGCATTTATGAAAAATCCACAGCTAACATCATAATGGTGAAAAAAAACAGGACCAAGACAACGATGCCCACTGTTATTCACTAGGAGCAAAATTATCTCTAATGACATGGCATGATCCTGTGTACGGTCACGTATTTTGTTGTTACATGACCATCTTAGAGTGCACTCACACAAACCTAGATGGCATAGCCCACTGCACACCATTGCTTCTAGGCTACAAACCTGGATAGCACGTTACTATACACAATAACAGAGATTAAATCAAGCTCAGGACAGAATGATGCAATCAAGAGACTGACAAAGTGTATGCGGTATACTGTTTTCCCACAGTATAGGGAAAACTGCTATAGGCTGGTGGGGAACATTTTTTTCTTAGAGTGGAAGAAAGAGGGAAAGACAGGAATATCGATGTGAGAGAAACATCCACTGGTTGCCTCCTGCATGAGCCCTGATCGGGACCTGGACGGGGAGGAGCTTGCAACCAAGGTATGTGACCTTGACCGGAATCAAATCCTGGACCCTTCGGTCCACAGGCCAATGCTCTATCCACTGAGCCAAACCAGCTAGGGACAGCCAACTTTTTATTTTATGTCAAAAGAATACACCCTAATGATAAAATGTATAGTATATAAGTACATAAACCAGGAACATAGTCATTTATTATTATTATCAAGTATTAAGGCCCCAGCTGGTTTGGCTCAGTGAATAGAGCATCAGCCTGCGGACTGAAGGGTCCCAGGTTTGATTCCAGTCAAGGGCACATGCCGGGTTGTGGGCTCGATCCCCAGTGGGGGGTGTGCAGGAGGCAGCCAATCAATGATTCTCTCATCATTGATGTTTCTGTCTCTCCCTCTTCTTTCCTCTCTGAAATCAATAAAAATATATATTTTTAAAAGTATTATGTACCTGACATAGTTGTTTCTGCCATACTTTTTCTAAAATATATTTTATTGATTTTTACAGAGAGGAAGGGAAAGGGGTAGAGAGTTAGAAACATTGATGAGAGAGAAACATCGATCAGCTGCCTCCTGCACACCCCCTACTGGGGATGTGCCTGCAACCAATGTACATGCCCTTGACTGGAATCGAACCACCGGCCGATGCTCTATCCACTGAGCCAAACCGGTTAGGGCATCTGCCATACTTTTATATGCCTGCCAATACCACGAACAGTATGGTGTCGCACATGACATTACCAGGTGGTAGGAATTTTTCATCTCCATTATAAACTTTTGGGACCACCATCATACATTTGGTCCATCATTGACTGAAACCTTATTATGTAGTGAATGACTATAGAAAGTTCCAGTGATCCACAAAAACACATTAGTTAATAAACTAATTCAGCAAAGTTGCAAGGTACGAGATCAACACAAAAATCAGGTGTGTTTCTATACGCCAGCAATGAACAATCACAAAAG